ATAACAGCCAGACGCAGACACAAGACAGACACACGGAAACGCACCAGCCACCCAACCACACAGCCAAGGTCCAAGCTAGTGGTGCTGATGCAGATGCAGAAACCAATCAACACCACGCCTCGCGTCAGGATCCGACTACCCCATACGGAGGAAGCACCCCCTGTAGCAAATCAAAGCCCAGCACGGCCACCTTAGCAACCCACCTCTACAGGTGCATGGTGCATGTTGCATGGTGGATGGACTAGTCGAAATCAAACCCACGCATGCCCTGCAGAGTGACGAAGCACCCGCAGACTAGGCTCGACTAGATAATTAGCCAGTGAGGAGGAAAGAGGTAGAGGTAGAGATGGGGAAAGCCACTTAAAGCTATGGATGTGTTTAGTCTGCATCCTTGACCTTCCCATTGGATTGGCATGGGCTATGTCAGCCTGTTGTTGCCAGGTGACTTGGCTATACTTCTTCCCTTCCCCGCATTTCCTTGGATGGCTTGCTTGGCGTGTTCTTTTCTCTTTCTCTTTTTCTTTTTCTTTCTCCTTTTTCTGATTAGCTTTTTGATTTCAGGCAGAGACGTTTTTGTACATGTCTCTTGGTCTTACTTAGCCTTGCCTTGGGCTTGGGTTTTGGACTGGGGATTTTTTGCTTTTTTGGGTGGGCGAATTTGTTGCGGGGATGTTCCGTGTCTGTCTAATAGTGATAAGGTTGTGGGATTGGTAAGCTTGAGCTTGGGTATGTTTACTCTTGTTATATATGTGTACGATGCAGATTGGCCGTCTTGGTGAGGATATACTCCGATTTGAGTATTCGTATATTAGAACTCGTATTTCTAATATGATACGATGATGTCTTTGGAGTAGAGAGATGATATCATCTCAATTAGGTGCTGGCGCACGAATAGAATGAATGGTTAGGCTGACTTGAAGCCTAGGTAAACATTCCATGGATGTAGCATAACTAACCCTAACAGACATGCAAATTAGCCCCCTTTAGATCCCAATCAAGGTAACCACATGATCGGATTTTCCGGGGTTAGAAACTCAAGCATAAGCCCAGCATGCAGCCCTGGAGCCTTGTAGGATAGCAATCTCACCTGAGCACGTCCCGGATATCCGGAACCCTACGAAAACACATGTACATCATACAGTAAGTTAACGAATACCCAGCACGGAATAGTAAAAACCAATGACGAAGATCTTAGGATCAAAAACACACAGCGCTCAATACTCCGTCTAGCATTGTAGATCACATCTAACCCATGGTTGATACACACCAAAAAGAAAAAGGAAACAAAAACACCCCCAAGCATTAGCGCCCAAGGTAGCCTGATCAGACAATTAAAAAGCCTAGACCAGAGTCCCACAATGTGTACCGTCAGAAAAGCACGACAGAGTCCAGTGTGTGCACATCAACAGAATAACGTTATCGAATGATACCCAAGCCAAAATGTTTCACCTAGCGCCGGCCCAAAAACCGTGTACGGAGTAGAGTAGATGAGCGTGACGCCCAACAAAAATAAAATGGATTCAGGCTAATATAATATGAAACAAGTCTAGAGTTGATCTCGATTGTTCTTTCATCTCACTTTTCCTTTCTCTACACCCACTGTAGACTCCATAGGCGCGGATAGTGTGGAAGTTTTTTTTTTGTGCTCCATTAAAAATCAGGGAACGGAATGCTGGGGTGGAGTCGAATGATCTCATTTGCGGCTTCTGCCGTCTGATCGACTACGCTGGGCTGTTTTGGTTGTTTTAGTGCGAGTCTGGAACTTTGCGATATCTCTTAGCTTGCTTTTTGAATACAGTGCGTTACACGATCTGCACGATCTGCGATTTTCTTCACTTTGCTCTCTTGAGACTCGATCAGTCCATATTGTTCCCGGGGTTTGAAGTGTAATGTCGGCGCACGTCATTTGAGTGGTTGATTGGAAGGGTTTTAAGGGGGGCTTCGTGCTTTGCAGTTATCCTTGCGTTGATCTTCGGACGGATAACATCGGATGACTGAGAATTGAGTCAATTCCTCGCCCGTCCAAACTGTAGATAAGGGTAAGGGCTATGATAGTCGATTCGATGTGGACTGTATTATTCTATTCTGTTCTATTCTATTGTGCATGATTGTGCAGAATTGCAATGCGCGAGTCAGGAGTAAAGGCCCCTGCGCACTCATCCTGGGCCTCTTATCTTCAAGTGTAGCAAACATACCCGACATGCTGCACCATGGCGAGTGCAAGTAGGCAATAAGACATCACATACAGCGCTAATTATCCCCCACGCACCCATGGGGGGTGATATGGTAGCATTAGCAAATAGTATACCCCATACGCCCACACAGTAGACTAAAGAGCAAACTAAAATCACACTAAAAAAGCAGACTAGGCCAAAACATACAGTCGGAAAGAGAATCCCAAGTCTAGGACCTACAGTAGCGCACATGTACACATGCACCCCATACGTTACTCCCTAAGGTAAGGGAGCCGACGTTCTAGACGCCCTACTGGAAGGCAATGGCCCGCAGCGGCCACGGTAAGGGCGCATCTTGGTACCGTGCGCGACGATGTGGGGGAGCATCCTTGCTGGTTGCTGAGCCATCATGCTGTTTTTAAGGGGAAACGGGGAAATTGTGGAGAGATGAGGGGCCTGGGAAGGAGAGCTACGAGCTTACAGCTAATCCCTTTGATTGTGTGAGTGGGCTCCGAAGTTTACTTGGACTTATAATACGGAGTAGACACGGAGTACTAACTTGATCTTTGCTTAGGCGCGATATAGTATGCCGAGGTTTGTCGGCGCTCGGCGGCTTGGCTCGGCGTTTTTGCGTTGCTTTGCTTTTGTTTTTGCATACTGTGTATTCTAATATATACTAATACATACATACAAAAATATATGTATAGATATACATATAGGTGTATGTGTGTGTCTGGTCGGATTGGGACATACTACATGCACATACAGTATGCAACAGTAGTCATTCTACAGTGCGGCATTCTAGTCCGAGATTTGCCTCCCAGGTTGACAGTTTCTAGACATACGGTCTGTGCTTCGATTGAATTTTTTTAGTTGCATATACAAGTTTTTACGACCACGACTATGTGCAGATCAATATAGGACGTTGTTACCTGATCGCTGAGGTTGCGATGAGAGTGGTTCTATGATAGTCTGGTTTTTTATGATTGATTCATTGGTTGATTCGCCTCTTTAACACCTCAGTTACATTTGGCTAGAGTTAATATCTCAATCCAATTAAGGTCACCTGGTACGCAACGTTGAATCATCTGTTTTGTTTGTTTTACCCGCCAGTCAGAAGGCATCCAGATACTCTAAACCCAACTGATAGGCGAACCAAGCACTTTGGAGCCGTGGCAAGCCCAACTCTATCTGGCCGGAGCCCTAATGAATATGTGCATGACATAATGGTTGACTTATCCTGTATATGTAACCATGACAAAGCTAACATCAACACCGTTGATAATTGCGACCTTATCATGCGGCCGAAGTGAACGGTGAGTGAAGTGGGCCGAATATTGGAGCCTCCAATCCTTGGCTCTCGGTTGGCATCGGGCCCGACTTGGCCTCCGCTACCGTCCCGGAAGAAATAGGATGTCCCTCACCAGCTATATCCTTGTTTGCCTACAGAGTACACATCTGCAAGTTGGGTTCGTGCGTGAGGGATATGCGTGAGGGATATGTAAAAGGGCTTGGCGTGCAGGGAATGCGTATTCGTAGAGAGTTGTTTAACTTAGGGTGTGTGGGTAGACTCGGGAGAGATCTCGATAGTGGCAAAAGTGAAAAAAAAAGTGAAAATCTTAAGTGCTACAGGGTAACTGTGTGGAACTGTGGCCGAGCCCGCCAGGGGTACATCTATCATGAAATTTCTTTCACGGATGTGGCGATCGTGTGGGCTGAAAAACTAAAGTGCTTCGGCGGGGATTCTAGAAAATCTAGAAGGGCTGGGCAATTCCGGGTGCGGTGGCATACTCCGAACTAGATATCTTTGATATTTTTATAGACCCATAGCATTAAAGAAAAGGCTCTATACGGAGGACTAGTCTATTGATCGTTTGTTCGGGTTTCGCTGTTCGCCTCCACCAAATAACCACCAAATGTCCACCAAATGTCCACCAAGTGACAATGCCACCAAGTGTAAATTCTTGTCAATGTTCATGTAAGGGTGAACATGCCACATACGCGTCCACGAGTCCTAAGAATGTGCCAAAGAACCTCAAGTGAAGCTGTACAACATTCCAACAAATCTTAGCCAACCGGTTTTGGTAAGAGAACCTTGGAAGATCGGCAGGGCCGGTGATCCCAAGGTGACGTTCAGTGTATTGGGTTTACTGTAAAATATTGAACCGTGGGTCGAGGATTCACATTCCGGTCTCGGATGGCGTGCTAGCGGCCACCGTGGGCCAGTCTCGTCTTGACATTGGTGCTGCATTAGGCATTAGGTCAGGAACAACGATTTATTATCTTGTACTATTATATGACATTTTATAGAAGGCTTATAGAAGTTCGTGTTGGTGGAGTCTAGGGGAGTTGCCACGCAGTTTTCCAGAAAACCCAAGCTGACATAGAAGGAATGGTATCTTACACTTTTAGTGTAGAATGTCCCCTGTCCACATTAATCCCTTGCTGAGGAAGATTTCGTCATGATTGGCGTGTCGCCACATCTGGTAAGAGTCGCGGCCAATAATAAAAATGCCCCTAAAAGCCCGAAGAGGAAAAAAGAAAGAGGGAAAAAAGAACAGAAAAGTCCCAAAAGAACATCTTATCGCTCCACTGGACTCCACTTTGGTATTGTACGGTTTCCCTCCCTTTTATCTCCCCCTTCTGCCTTCTGCACATCCAAACCTCCACTTCTACATATACACACATTCCCTCACACTACACTCACACATTCTCTTTCTCTTCCCATCTTATGCTACAATAATCAATCTGGATTCTCATCCCACACGCAGGGGACCGGTGAGAAAAAAACCGAAGATACAGGGTCCCCGACGCAAACTTTACGCTATGCTTAAGAAGAAGACGCTGGCGCCGTCCCTCTTCTTCCGGAATCATACTCCAACCACTACCCCCGAATTGTCTCCCACCTCTTCAGATAGCGATTCTGAAGAGGATATGGAATCTTCTGGCTCCCGACCGGTCAGCCTGGCCGTCTCGGCGGGAGCCTTCTCCATGCGCCCGACTCTCGACGAAGTCCTGGCCAATGTCGCCCCGCCCCCATATACTCTCAGCGCCTTTATGGCCTACCTCTCCCAGAACCACTGCCTAGAAACCCTCGAATTCACCCTGGAGGCCAACCGATACCGGGAATGCTACTACGCCATTGTCGACCGATTAGGCCCCGCCGCACTGGAGTCCGACGGCCCGGAAAGTCAGCACTTGCGCATGCTCTGGCAACGCTTGTTGACTGCGTACATATTCCCAGGGTCACCGCGGGAGATCAACCTCTCCAGTGAAGTGCGAGACGACCTCCTTCAATACTCAAACGTCACCGCCCCGCCCGTCCCGGAGACGTTGGATTCCGCCGTCAAACGCATCCACGACTTGATGGAGGAATCCATCTTCCTCCCCTTTGTCAACAGCCACACCACCTCCCCATCTATGCTCGCATCCTCTGGTCCGATCCTAGGTCCGGAAGATATCATGAACCTGTCATCGACAAGTCTGGAAGAGAACCCGATGAAAAAGGTCCGGTCCCGTGTCAAGCGGACTTCCCCTCAGTCATCAACGCGGGATCTCCCATCAACGGGTCACAGCCGCTCGAACATGTCGCTCGGCGCTGCGGATTCCATTGGCAAACGCACTTCCGGCGCTCTGCTCAACCCCAGTGGCGAGTCTGCCTCGTTGGCTTTGACTGATGACAGCGGCTCTCCGCAGTCCAGTCCCACAGCCGAGGAACCCATGACGCCGCCCACCACCCCGCCTGCCAGCGAACCGCACCTCCCCATGCAAAGCCCCAAACTTCGCACCGAGAACCCGTGGAAGAAGATGGGTATGAAGCTTGGCTTTAAGAAGCGGTCTACTGGTGGTAGCAACGGGGGTCGCGACCCCAAGATCCTTGGTTTGGACGAGTAAACCATCTCTTTCTCAACTTCTCTCCGACTCTACAAAACGGACATACATCTTTCGTCCTTTCTCAACTCACGACATCTTCTATGACCTCCTGAACGATATCTCACTTCACTACACCCTCGCATGAATTCTGATGTGCATCATCCTACGACTTGTTAGCCTTATTCGAGCGTTTACATTGGCGGTGTATGAGAGCATGATGCATCGAAAGCATATGAAACCGGCGTTTTCCCTTTTTTTTTCTTGTCACTTTTTTGGCGGATGGCATCACGGGGAAAGAAACCCGTATATATCATATCATGTTTTCATCTATAGATTGGATGGCCTCAGGTCTTCCAGATTGGATCCTGGCGTTTTTTGTCGAGACTCTTGTCTCTATATCATATCTTCCTCCCCTATGGAGTTTTCTTTGTTAAATCAATAGACTTGATACCCCACTTCTCATTTGATTCTTAATTGTAGTCATTGTAATTGTAGTCTCTCCACCGTGGACAGATTCTCACGTAGAGTGAGTACATGTATGTGATGTGAGTGATATCGTTGGCGATATCAGTCACTATCCATGAAGCAAAGGTATGCCTAACCTAATTACTTCCCACCGCAATGTCACCCTCCATCAAAGTATCAAAGTGGCTGAACCCAGTCCCAACTGTATCCCATTCTCATTCCACGAACATGCACAACATACATTTACCATACCCATCCTCCCCCTACAAAACACCATCAACCAGATCTTCTAACCAACTTACTACACCAACATACGACCCTATAAGCAAACCACCAAACCATTCACCCAAAGAATATTCAATTATTAACATCTTTCCCCCAAACCAAGACTCTCGTGAAACCCGAAACCCAAGCCCGTAGCCCGAGATTCAAGCTCATGACTCGCACTCCATACTTTTCACCTAACCATGTTGTACAAGCAGACACAGATATCAAAAACTGGAGGGAACATGGAGTCAATATTGACTTTTAGGGCTTTGGGGTTGTACGGTCTTGGATGCATGCGTAACCCTTTTGTCTTGTTTAGGCTGTTCGGGGTCATTTGGGGATTTTGTATTTTGTTGTTGGATAGTGGATATTTGACATTGGATGCTAAGGGCATAGGACTAGAATTGGAACTGGAATGGAAGAAGAGATGAAAGGGAAGTGAGTAATATGAAACAACTAGGTGAAGAGTAATACCGAGAAAAGACAATAGCGACAGCAATCAATGTTGTTAGTTTAGTGAGAGTGATAGAAATAAGAGTACAAACAACCGAGCCAAAATCACCCCAGATCAAATAGAAACCCTCCTCCGACCCCTCGTCTCCAATGCCGCAATATCAAGATTCCAGCCTACATCCCGCAAGCGCACGAGATAATTCCCGAAACGGGACTCTGCGTTGAGACAGGATAGAGTTCGTTCAAGGACGTCTAGGACTGTAAATACATCACTCGAACTTGAAAGGTCCATTGTGTCGGGGGATTCTTTTCTCCCTCGCTTTGATCTTCTTCTTTTTTTACTTCTTCCTCTTTCAATTTCGGTCTGCGTCTGTTTTGATGAATACATCAAGACCAGTACCCTCGCTGCTAGCAATGCATGTGTCCATGCTTTTAACTGATCGGGGGTCGTACAGCCCTTTTTGAGGAGGATGGATGCGTGCCATGTTCTCTTTGTGGATGAGGGTGATGATGAAGGTGTGAGGAAGAGGAGGTAGGCCTCGTTCGAGAATAGGACTGTGAGCTGTTGTACTGGGATGGTACTTCTTGTGCTATTGGCAGAAGTGCCGAAGAATGAGGACAAAGAAAGCCCTATTTGGGCTGAGCCTAGATATTCCGTTGATGTTGATGTCGATGTCGATGAATGGGTTGTCCATTGTAGCGCTTCACCTCGATGGAAGATGCGCTCGTGACGTGCTATATCTGCAGGTGTGAAGATCGTCAATTGGCTTCCGTTAATCGGTTTGCTGTTGGGATCTGCGGTCGACGTCGAGGTCAGGCTTAGCGCATCATCCAAACTCGTATCGGAGTCTAGTAGAGCCGAGAATGTAATGTTCGCTCGTTGCCTGTTCAGACTTGTCATCTGCACTGCTCGGACAGCGGCGTAATTCATGCTCAGATGGAGTGCTAGAAGGAGTAATAGCGCTATCCAGGTTGTAGTGAAGCTGGTTATGTGTGAGATGACAACAGATCCGACCTGTTCATTGCGTTAGATGAATGCGAAGGAAAATTGAACAGTTTTGGACTAAAGGAAAAAGAGAAAGATTGGAAGAATACTCACCAACATCCCAAACAGCGAAATAACCGTCTCCTGAGACGAATCTTTCTATAAAATCAAATCAAATGTCAGCTCTCCCCAAATTAATCCCAACCAACAACCCCAGAAAACAGATACATACAGCATTAAGCTCCGCCAAATTCCCCCATCTCGCAAAATGAGCACTCAAACTAGCCTTCGAACTCCCCCCAGCAACACCACACAATGCACGCAGTACCCCTGCCGTACTGAGGACAGTAACCCGTATCATGCCAGCAGGAACCATCGGCGAGAGACAGTCCATGATCATGGCGATGTCGTTGAAGACATCTGCGGCAAGTCTGTAGGTCTTGCATTCTGGTTCTAGGGCCGTGCCGACGCGGTGGGCGAAGATGATTGTGGCTATCCGGCCGGATATGTCTTGTAATATGTGAAGTAGCAGAGCTGAAGTTGGGGAGGCATCTGCGTTGCCGACGCCGACTCCTGTTTAATGTGTTAGAAATGGGGTTCAGATTGAGGTGCGTGGGATTGACCTTGTAGTACTGCGCGGGAGGAGAGGAGGCCTGCTATTGAGCTGCAGAAGGCTTGGAGGGAGTCCTGGTTTGCGTTGGGTTGGTTAGAATTGATTTGGGATTAGGTTTGATTGGGATCGGATAGATGTAGATGGTTGAACAGGATCTGTGTTAAGTGCATATGTTCGCTTACGAAGATTTGATATCTGAGATTTCGTGTTAGCATTTGTAGATCATGTAGGGCACACATAAGACGGCATAGCACAGCCTCTCTGGCCCAGCTTGGAATACGCACGGCAAATAGTCGTCGCTGACACTGTGAGGAAACCCGGAAGGAAGAAAAACATCACTCAGCGAGCCGATCAGAGGCTTGGTTGACCACGACGAGGTAGACGGGGAAGATGTCTGTCCAATGTCAGTAAGGGCACTAGGATTTGAATATCACGACTCCATGTTTGGACCAAAGCGAGACATCATTAGACCATGTCATCCATAGCATTGAAATGAACAGACACGGGTTTAGTACATATGATTGGGATCTGTTCATCTGTGCAAGTAGACAAGGGTCATGTCTCCCCGGAACTAGGGTAATGTTGGCAAGAGACAAGCAGATGAAAGATGAAAGATGCAAGATCGTATGTCACACATGCTGCATACAAGTCTTGGGATTCGAACACTGAGAAATATCTTACCACAACATCCACTCGACCGAATGAAGCTCGCTTCGTAGTGTCCCCGGAATAGATGTAGGTTGCGGTAGAATTGCCGGCTTCATCTGTCTCCTGGAAGGCCAGCCTATTCGATTCACTAGATCCCATGTTGATCAAATAGATGGTGAAGGTCAAGATCCGGGGTTGAGGTAGTCAGGAGGCACGTGCTTGAGACCACGTCAACCCTTGATTGCTGCTATAGTATTGGCGTTATAGGGCAGGGTTATGCTCTGCAGTAATAAGCTTAAATGGTATCTTGTCTTGTCCTCGGGAATTATCCATTGCTATCCTAAGTGCTCCCAGAGCCTACTATCAACAACGAATGAGAATCTCCAAAAGGCCAATCCAATCAGATCTATATGTGTAAAAGTACTTCGCTCTTCCTATGGGGAGCGGCTGCACATAAAAGAAGAACACCGAAAAAAATCCAACCACCAGCGCCGGGTACAGAAAGAACGAAAAATCAGAGCGGAAAAGAAGCGCTCTGTAGAAAAAGTGTCCTTGCCATGGCGATTAACCAGCAAGAGACAAGGTATAATGTGAAAGAAGTTTTGGTTGAGGAAACGAGTGGGCGATCTGAACATCAGATCCGAGTCCCCAGCCACCGAGGCATCATCATGCCACGGTCGGCCAGGTTCAACACCACCTTTCAACAGCAGCAGACTGAACCCTGAGTTGAAACGGTATCAGGTCTGCTGCGCGTCGCTCATCACACAACTTCCAAAAGAAGTGTCATGCCCCATCGCTCATATTTTAATTTTGATACTTGCCAGGGGGCGCCTAGGCGAACATGCTCGCGCCGCCAGTCTCGATGGCCTCCATCTCAGCCTGGGTCCAGGGGAGACGACCGAAACGCGAGGGGAGCTCAGTGCGGTCGAAGAACTCGCCGTTCTGGGGCTTGACTGGGCCAAGCGACGCGCCCGAGTGGCCGCCAATGGTGCTGTTGAAGGAAGCGCGGCCGAGAGGACCGTGCTGCTGAGCCTTCGCGCGGTAGGCAGCGAAGGAGTTAGGGAGAGTTCCAGTGGGAGAGGCGGGGTGAGCGCGAGGAGCGTGGTCAACCGACTCTGGAGACAGAATGTTAGCTTGGGTTTCGGAATTCGGGAGGGGGACTCGGGCTGGGATTCACGTACGAGGGATGGAACGCTTTCCGACGAAACGAATGAGAGGGGTGCGGGTAGCAGAGCAGAGAGCGGAAGTGACACGCATTGTGAAGGTTGGTTATTGAGGTGGTGTAGGTGGGAGGGTTGAGATCAATTTAACGTGAGTGTGCGAAATTGAACGGGTCCGGTAGTATCCGAACCGACCCGGAGGCGCGAGAGAGTGTGTGTGAGGTGGTAGGTTGGATTAACAAGTGATAGTGGACGAATATGCGATTGAAGAGAAGGATGTAGCTAGCGAGACAGAAGATGTAAAGAAAAGACTGAGAAGGACGAAGAAGATAAGACGTGCCAGCGGGAGGGTTACCGCTTTGGGACCGGGTCGGAGCCGATGAACTGCTTCAACGGCCACACGGTGTACTCTCAACCATGCAATACTGCAACTGACCACTGACCACTAATCACTGCTGTTGTACATCTGCCAGACTTTTGTTCGGAGTTTGACCCGGTTTCCTCTATTGGTAGACGGCGCCGGAAACTGGGATCCCCCAAACTCATCCCCCGCAGTGTGAAGCCATTTGCGATTCCCCGACTCTCAGATCCTTTCCCAGTCTGCTCTCCCGGTGAGCTCCCCGTTTTTTGGCTGGGATCTTCTTTTCTTCTCGTGAAGCTCCCCTCCACCAATCAATCTTATGAATCTGAACATCTCCGAGTTTACTTCCTTTGTTCCCAGAATCCCCCGCAGTCGGCAGAGTTACATTTCCGGACCCCTTGTGAATATCACCCGGAACTGATACCCCGAGGGTTTCACGAGCCCTTCCCCAAAGGATTACAGCCCTGAAGCATTACAAATCGCCACATCTAATAGTTCGATAAGGCGCGCCCCCTCAAAAGCTTGGACCCTGACTAAACATCCCGGCTTCACCCGCATATCATAAGATGCACGAGGTATTGCTCTTCGCCTCGGTCCCGGTCCACCAGCATCATGAGCTCCTCCAACAGCTCGCTGGTCTGACAGCCATGCAGCCCCGCCATTGCTTGGAGCGGCGGCTGATCTTCAAAGCCTATCGCAAACCCGGTCTGGTGGCGGGGCGCACGGGTGCCAGTCAGGATATACAGTCGGGGGACCTTCAGCGGCTGAACAAGATGCTGAATGGGAGCATGTACTACACCCAGGTGGTTGGTCCAGTCTCTGAAAAGGACTTTGGTTCTGCAACCGATTCCGATACGCAGATGGATGGCACAGACGAAACCCCAGAGGCACCTCGGTATGACTATGAACGTCAACCATGGAAATTGGAATTTCGAGATATCCCGGAAGCTGGCACTCGCTCGGCTGTCACGTCGCGTCAGATGTCTAGCTCAACCTTGCCATCGGGAGATATCATGCCGACTATGAGTGCGTGGGGCTATAGGTGAGTGGTGCGACTCGATCTTATGATTGCCGGCGCTAATCAAATTCTAGCTTCGTGACTGAACATGTGGTCGAGGGTGATCTGTTCATTCACAATGACATTACTCTCTTTTTGCAGCGGGTTCTGCATTACCCAGCCGGCCAGGAGCCAAGTCAACCTCGACAGCAGATGCCTGCGTTGAAGGACATGACGCCGCTAGAAAAGAGCGGGAGCTACGTTCTACAGGCCTCCATTACTGTGCAGGACGGCAGCAACCAAGAGACGATGAAGACAGCCTCGCAGCATCTTTTCGGGCTACGCGAGCAGTTGAAGTCAGCAGTTCGGCTCGAGCAGGCAGACCGGCTATCGCTTGATACGAGGGCGAAATAGATGCCCCGTGCTTGCTATGGCTGAAGGAATCAAAGCAGGCAACGGCTTTGGAACTCGCACATAATTTATAGAAAAAGAAAGATACCCATCTAGCGAACAAAACAAAATATACACAATTTATTTCATTTTTCACTGATTTCTATCATTTAATGTTCAAACCATGTGACTTGGCGACTCCGCGTCTCGGCGCGTCCCTGCATCTCCAACTTCAACGCGCACATAAGTTATTGAGGCACGGCGCCAATTAGTCCTAAGACCTTTCAAAACGTTCTCTCTCGCTCGCATTGTCAGAATGGTCGAGGGGCCAGCTAAGAGGAGTGCCTCTCCCCGAGCCATTTCACCGCCCCCGCTGCGCCGCAAGGTCGACCCAACTGTCACCAGTAGGTTCTTTGGCCCCCATGATTGATATAGCCGCTGATAGATAATCTATAGAAAAATCAGTCGCAAACTTTTTCACTCCGGCCTCGCAGAAGAAGCCGGAATCGATTACATGGCGCGTTATCGGGACGAGTGTTGTCATCGGAAAGCAGACCTCCGAGAACCAAGTACCCAGTTCCTCTGGGAAACGCCGTATCGCTGGCTTTGATCTGGTAAGTGTTCAATTTACCCAAAATGATGCCGAACAGCATCGACTGTCCCGGAGCCGTGCTAACAAGCGCTTCAGGATTCAACTTTGATCAAGACAAAATCCGGTAATGTGTTCCCAAAGTCAGCAACAGACTGGCAATGGTGGAACGACAAGGTCCCAGGACGCCTGAAGGAGCTCAACTCCGAAGGGTAAATATACGAGTCCGAGCAAGAGAAAAGGGTTATGGCTTACAATTCACAGCTACCAAGTCGTGATCTTTTCAAACCAGAAGAAGATCAGCGTCCAGAAAGACATCAAGGGTGGTCGAAGTGAATCGAAGAGTCTCTCAAACTTCAAAGAGAAGATGACTGTCGTTTTGACGCAACTTGATATTCCAGTGAGCGTCTACGCAGCTACTACAGACCCTGAATACCGGAAGCCTCGTCTCGGAATGTGGCGCGAGTTCTTGGACGACTATGACCTTGATGTTGCAGGCGTTGATTTGCCTGGCTCGATCTTCGTAGGAGATGCGGCTGGTCGGCCTGGTGATCATTCGGCTGTAGATCGGTAAGGCATCTCGATCTCACATTTGGCATTGTGCTTGGATACATGCTGATATGATCTAGTGGATTGGCCACAAACATTGGTATGCCCTTTAAAACGCCAGAGGAGTTCTTCCTGGGTGAAACGACGGAGCCAGCAACAAAGCTTTTTGACCCGATGCTATATGTGAAGTCGGAAGAGGAGCCTGGTATGTTGTCCCTTTCTAATGAAGAAGTTATCCCCGAGATCAAACAAATGGCTAATTCATAAGAAAAGCCAAACCATTTACTCGCAAGCACCCCGTGGAACTAGTCCTCTTCTGTGGTAGCCCCGGTGCTGGGAAATCTACTTTCTACTGGACTCATCTGGAACCTCTTGACTACGAACGAGTGAACCAAGATATGCTCAAAACGGTATGAACATACATCCTTCGCAACGTATTCCCTTCAATGAATTGAATGCTAATCAAACGCAGCGCCCGAAATGCCTCAAGGTCGCTCGCGAGCACCTGGAAGCAAAGAAGTCGGTTGTAGTCGGTACGTCTAGCACTTATCCATAACCCTTCAAACGAAACAACAAACTAACCCGAGAACAGACAACACAAACGCAGACCCCGAAACGAGAGCTCACTGGACCTCCCTAGCAAAAGAACTCAAAGTGCCCATCCGCTGCGTCCAATTCATCTCAACACCAGACCTCTGCAAACACAACAACGCAGTCCGAGCATCTAACAAAGAACTGGTACGTACCCGCGTCAATCGGCAATATCCCGTGTCTCTAACCGGCGCCCAATAACGAATCTCCATACTAACATCTCCACCTCTAGAACCCCGAATCGAGAACTTCCCTTCCAGGAATCGCCTTTGGCGATTTCGCCCGCCGCTTCAAGGCACCAACGCTGGACGAGGGGTTCGACGATATCATCCCTGTCGAGTTCCAGTTCCGCGGTGGTGACGAGGCCAAGGCTCTCTGGGGCCAGTACTGGATTTGAAGGCACCCATGACTATTGACTACATTGGTACTTGATCTTCCGTCTCGTGGGCTTGGGGTTTTGCTTCTTTCTAGGCTCCCTCAATCTCCATGTCTCATCTCATGTCTACAATCGATAATGTGAAACATGGCAGCTGAGCACGTACGTGTACATGTACATGACATACCTTGGCTTGCAAGGTTCTGCGGACTATGTCAAATGTCATATGTCATCTTATACCATGGTAGATCTATTGATAGGTTTCATCAGAGCCCACCTGACTCCCAGACTACACACAAGGTGGGAAATGCTCATCTCGACTGCATCCGTAAAGGGATCTGAATCCACGCATGTTTCGGATTCCTTTGTTGCATGTTGACGCATGTTAGCTCTAATCTAGTGGGTCTGACCTATGTATGAAAACCGGATTTGGACATAACTCGTTTCATTATACTATACTCTTCACATGTCAGCCCAGGCCTAGGATTATACATGTAGTCTAGGACCAAGACATTATTCCGATAGTGCATATATACCCATGCATTAATCTAACTGTTATAGCTACTATTCTTAGTGGGTATAATAGGCGATACTGTAAGACTAAGCGATTGGCTCCAGGTGAGAAGAGAGAGAGAGAGAGAAGAAAAAAAGTACCTGCATTACAATACCTACTGTTTAGCCCTGAAGGACCGAGTTCCACGGGTATATGCAAAGCCCTACCCAGAGCCCCTCAGGTACAGATAAGCGTAGACTCGGAAAGTAAATCGCACGCCAAGGCACCTGGAACACATCGATCCGGTCCCGGACCATCCGCTAACATCACACTAACATCTGTTCCTACAGATGTTCACCCAGATGGAGTTAGTCTGGGATCAGATACACTCCCAACGGCATTGCATCACCACCTAGGTGCATTGTGACATTGCAGCCTTGAGACTGCAGGATTGGTAATTGATAATTGATTTGTAATAGTCGGCTCAGCCATCAATAACTGTTATTATGTTATTTGTACTGGTAATAATTGATAATGGCGGTAGTGCCCTTCAGACGTGGCTGACCCCACTCTTTTACCGGTCGTGCATGTTCGGTGGACCTTAGGGCTTTCACCACTGTAGTGACTCATATGTGAACAGTTGTTTGTGGGTTGGGATGGATTCAGGTACGCAAGGTTCAGGTCAGGTACGGACTGGTGATCAGGCACTGTTCCTGATGCATGAACTGGCTTAGGGATGGTCCACACGCCTGGACCTCGGATGTTGGGGCTATGCATTGTCATCCTCGTGTTCGCTGTGCATGTAATATGCGGGAGGTAATTAGTGTAATGTTGAGATAGACAGATAGGAATAGGCAATTGAGCTAATAGAATAGTATAGTATAGTAAATATGTGTTGTGCAGAGACTGCCAAACGGAAATCCAATATTAAGCCGCCAATAGGTAAGCTGTGTATATGTACAAATATGAAAACATGTGCTTTTTTGCTTTTGCTATTTTGCTTTGCCCTCTTTTTGAGAGGCATTTGAGAAAGGGAAGATAGGAATGGAAGTCTATGCGGTACAATGGATAGGCTTGATGTATAGGGTATAATTGAAGCAAGAAGGAATGGACGGGTCTGAGCCCAGTCAGAATACAAAATCTGTCTTACAGACAAGACAGATACCGTATTCCGAAAACATGACTCGGAAGAGAAGGAAAGGCATGATCGGGGCGAGGAAGTAGTCGCGGACCGGATCGGGAATCGTGAGTCATCATTGAACAAAGCAAAGAAAACACGGTGAAAGAGACATTAGTCGTGACAGGTGGCGCATATCGAAACGCCCTGGGGAATATTCTATGGTCATTATCGTTGCGGGTCGCTGGAAGGAAAAGAGAAACGAAAAGAAAAGAAAGGAGAGAAAAGGAAGACGAGCAGGGAAAGACTGCGGTCTAAGGTCGGGAGACCAGATCCTGGAAGAAGCGGAAGAAATTCCTCTTCTTCCCAGTTCGGCACGGGCCGGCAGTTTCTGTAGCTGGCGCGACGGTCATTGGACCGACGATGTCCTCGTCTCCCATCTCGGGGAACTTGTCGTTGTCGTGAAGACGGGGGATGCGGACATTTTCGCATGGGTGGATGTTAGACTGGGTCAAGGTGAGGGCGACACCGTCTAGAGTTTCGAGCTGGTTGAGCATGGCCTCGTGTTGGGTGCGCCAATCGCGGTTGATGGACTCCCATTTCTCAACGGTGAGCCTGTAGATAGTAGAGGTAACACCGTAATGCTCGCCTGTGCGGACGAGGTGCTTGGCGAAATTACATCGAGCAATATCCCAATCGGCGCGCAACTGCTGGAAGTTGCTAATATCACGAATCACGGGCACATACGGCTCGGGCTGGATGGTGAAATTTGCGTGGCCGAGCTTGTGGGCCCACTCATCGTTGGGGTCGGAAAGGACGAGGGGTGCTTCGCCCGAGACAGTGCGCAAGGTGCTAGTCCGGGGTCGGTTGAACGAGGCCACAGATGGCTTGGAGGAAAGCGGGGGCGAGGGAAGAATTCCCATGAAGCGAGGGTCGGAAGTTACATTCCAGTGGTGAGGCTCGCTAACATCGGCTACCGAGGGTGACTGTAGGGGCGACTGGACACGGGAAACCACGTTTGATGAGTCGTCACCCAACAATGGGGGCAGAAGCGGGGTTGTGGCTTGCTGCTTGTCATTGTCATCCTGGCTTAAGCTGTTCGCTCGGGTAATATCGATTGGGCGTGCGCCGGAGTCGCTGATGCGCTCCTCGAAGATGGTGCGAGCGGGAGAAGGGGGAATTGAGTCGACGCGGCTCAAAGGACCGACCACAGGGCTGGCTAGAGCGGAGGAAGCTGAGCCCGCGCGAGACCGTAGATCGTCTGGGAACGCATCGACTTCGGTGCCCGAAGAGTGGGATCGCTTCCACC